TGCCGCGGCGGGGCCCGGCTTGGGCAGCCGGCGTGCGGCCAGGCGAGAGAAGCCTCCGCAGGGTTGTAGTTTGCATTCAGATGATGTACTTTGTATATTCGGATGTCTTTTATCTATTTGGGCACCCCACTGAAGCACGGTATGCTTTACACAGTGCTGCTTTGTGCCTACGTGTATAGGTGTGCCACAGAAAATTTTCAGAAATTCAAAGAAACCTTCAAGGTTAAGCGTTCTCAAATTTTTAGATGCACTTTCGCGGTTGGAGTGGTTGGATTTTTGTCACGCACGCTGCAGCCAGTCGATGCAGCACACTGGGGCTTTCTGCTGGTTTCATTCAGGGTACTGTGTGTGTCCATTTTACTCTCCTGCAGGAACTGCCCATGGGTTTCATTTTCATGTTTTATTGTTTAAAATCAGAACTACTATAGCTTCTGCGATATGGTCAGTTTGCAAAGGATGATTATTTTTCTGTTTCATACCAAGCCAGGTACCTGGCTTTCTCCTTTTTGTCTTTTTTTCTAAAAAAATAAAAATACTATCAGATGATAGTGAAAGAGATTATTATGTTTCAAAGGAGTTTAGTGATATGTACAATTTTGACTAAAATGGAGTGCTTTTTGCAAGTCTTGTCTACATGGAGCTTCTGCACAACGGGTGTTGGTATATCTTGACATTTTAGCATCCCGGGCTGTGACTTGGAGAGGTTTCCTGAATCTCAGCTGCCTCAGAAGCTTCTCTTCGGAAGCAGCATGGGTTGTGGCATGGATGTGTTTGATCCCGTCTTGGTTTTTGTAGACCTGGAGAAGGAACGGAACCGAGGCATTGGGAAACCACTTCTAGGAGGTCCCTTCTCACTCATTAACCATGAGGGACAGCCCAAGACCAGCAAGGACTACATCGGCCAGTGGGTGCTGATCTACTTCGGCTTCACACACTGCCCTGACATCTGTCCTGATGAACTGGAGAAGATGATTGAAGTGGTAGATGAAATTGGTATGGGAATTTGGTTGGAATAGTGGTGCTTTTTATGGGAGCTTCAGGTTTATTGTGGTAAAATACCTCAAACAATAATAACTGATGATTTTTTTAAAAAAAGAAAGCTTGACTGCTACTCAGTAGTTGAATTAATTGCTAGGTGACACTGACATCCGTCCATCTGCCCGTCACTAGGATCTGGTATTTAGAGAACGACAGTACTGATCTTTCTGCAACAGGGGACTTGTAATAAAATGTGATGGTGACAGGTTACAGGGAATGGTGCCACTGCATTGGAGTTTTGCCAAGAAGTGGTTGTGGGGTGTGTTAAGGTTTTTTTCTTTCTTTTATTCATTTTGAGAACAACTCTCTGCAAGAGTCCCTTCTGAGAGTGTGCTGTGGAACAGAGGCTGGGGGAAGGCTGTGTGATAGACGTGGTTTTCTCAGCCTGCAGGCCCTGAAGAGTTACAGAGCAGGGCTAATAGGAACGAGGGAGGTGAGAGGGTGGGCTAATATGAAGAACATAGAGGGAAAGCTGTGGCTGGAACGTGAGGGAAAGAGCCTGAATTGTGTCTTCACCCTCCCACTCCACCATCACAAGGGTACATTCATTGTATTGAAATGATAAATGCATCATGTATTTTCTGCTTCAGAGCCAATTTGTCATCTCAGAAGCAGGGCAGGGTCTCCAGCTGAGAGGCTGGAAGTGTAGCTGCAGCCAGCACAAGCACAGACCGTTGGCTTTCACAGCATTTGCTTCATTCACAAATTACAGAAATTAAGATGCACAAAATAGCCTTAGGGTGGACTTGGATTGATGTTATAATAGTTTGGCTGTGAGCTTGTTTAAAGGGAGGTGACAAATGATTTTTAGTTCTCTAAGAAAAATAATAATTGTTAATGTCACAGATAGAATTCCATCTTTGCCTAATCTGACCCCACTCTTCATCACCATTGATCCTGAGAGGGACAATGAAGAAGCCATTGCCAGATATGTTAAAGGTATTACTCTTTTCTTACTTGGTATCTTACAGCATGTAATATAGAGCACTGAAAAGGAGGCTTTTGATGGGATTCTTTTCACTGAAATGTGTAAATCTCTTCTTTCTATCTAGAATTTTCTCCGAAGCTGATTGGATTGACTGGTACCAAGGCACAGATTGACCAAGTGGCCAAAGCTTACCGTGTGTATTACAGTGAAGGTCCCAAAGATGAAGACAGTGATTACATAGTAAGTAAATGTAGAGCCTTTGCCTAATGAAGGACTTTGGATAAGAGCAACATATAGATATGAAAGTCAGAAGACAGCTGTTGCAGTCTGTGTTGAAGTCTTGCATGATAGAACCCTGTTGCATTGATGTGTTAAGCTCTGTTTTAGAGGTCTCAGTCAGGATCGCGATGCCTTCTTACAAGCTCAGAACCTCACTGAAACATGTTTTAAAAATGTGGAATCCCAGACCTGCATACAGAATAGCATATGAACTAGCAACCCTGGCAGTAGTTTGAACTTTTTTCTGTCATGTAATGTTTTTGTCCAGCTCTTTTCCTCTGTGCTCCAAAGTAAAAACAGAACTGGGAAATTAAGGCAACAGGAAGAGAGAGAAATGAGAGGCAAAAGCAGGTCACAATTCCTTCCCTGCCAAACATACCAAGGAGTGGGGTGATCTTGGCAGGAGACTTGGGTGATGCAAAGTCTGCCTGCAGATACCGTGGAGATCTTCCTCCTGTGTCAAATGACCTCGAAGAGAAGGGATGTTAATGCTAAATTGTTAGCATAAAATATGTGGAGTAATAGTGTGAAGGGGGAAACTGAGGTTTAAGTGAGGCTAAACTGGGTAGTCAGAATCTTATCCTCTGGCAGTGAATAGGACTGGTTATAGGGCTCAGAGCTGCTGCCAAGGCCTTTCTGACTTGCCACATCCTGAGCAGACTGGAAGAGTAAAGTAGGTACAAGTGATACAGCAAGTGAGGATATGTGTTATCTGATCTTTTTTTTTTGTTTTCTTCATTACAAGAACTAAGTGCATCAGAGAAAACTAAAAACGGGTTCAAAAGTGAACAGGTGATGGTTCCTGTTGCAGTGGCCATGTGAGAAGTGGCATCCATCATATGGATGCCCATGATAGAAGTTTGTGGGAGTCCACAGGGACACCTGTTAGTCTTTGGAAAAAGCAGTCTGTTGAGGATTACAAAATGCACAGAGATCTTTGCCTAGTTCAGGAAGCCTGTGGGCTAAAAGTGTTTGGAAACTGGGAATAGAGGAAGATAGGATATTTTGGTTTTATACTCCTCTTTAAAGCAACCATTTTTGGCCACTGTTTGAGGTAGGATGCTGAGGAAGATTGGTTTTGGTCTAATCCAGTATTGTCTATTATTAATCTGTTTTGAAAAACACCTGACTGCAGCGAATAAGTTATCCACGTGGAACAAAAAAGTGGTGCATAGAAAGAGGCAAGAGCAGCAGATGATCTCAGTAAAGAGAAGATGGAATCACACTGGTGATAGGCATTGCTCTACATTACTGAAAGGGGTATGAATTGAGAGCTCAAGAACCTGTTTTGGCTTAAAGTGGCAAGTCAGTAGCTACAGAAGTCTGTGTCTAAGATACTATATTTGAATGGAGGAGAGAAGCTTGCTGGAGAAATTCAACACCAGTTTAAATCAATCTAGCATCAATCTGAAATCAATCTAAAAGTACTACTTAAAATCAGATTTATAAAAGGGAGCTGGTGGAAATGCAAGACTGTGTTACAGGAACAGGATTGGCAAAGGATACCTGCTCAGTAGAGGGGG